TATATATATATATATATATATATATATATATATACACACATACACATATATATTTTTATCCTTGAATGATCCTGATGGCCTTTCAATGAAGTCACTAAAAAGAAGAAGAATGATCAATGCGAAACAACTACCGATCGTAGTTCCGTGAATATCACTGAGAAGCGAGCTATGAAATATAACCAATCTATCAGAAAAACATCCAGGAAGAAAAAACTATAGCAACAGTTTCGACAAAACATTTTTAATGTTTTACGGAAGAGATCGTCTACAAAAATCTCGAATCTCGAAAAAAATGGGCTCCAAGTCGATTTTCTAAGGAATTTTATACCTCTTCAAATGTAATCTTTCAGACCTTGCCAACAAGCTTGATATCATAAAGAAGATATATACTCTGCTTGAACATCACCCAAGTATAAGATATAAACTTACGTCTTTGAACGATCTTAATGGAAATTCAAATAAGCCCGAATCACGATAAGATTAACTGAAACCATAGACCATAAGCTAATAAATATCATTAAGGAGTAGACTGTCAGATGTACTCAACTATCGCCTATCGAAGAAGAAACACCTCAGAAGAGAAAGGATCACGTCTATAGTTTTGCTTCTTTTAGAAGCTAACAGAGTTGTTTACTCTCTGAACCATCATGGTGTTCAAAAAGAGCTTTTACTTCCTACAATGAAAGGTAACGTAACATCTAGAAATTTGTATTTTGCTACTATATTTTATAATATTTAAAAACGGCTATGTACATGTGGAAGAGAACGTACAACGTCTGAAGACGTAACATCACTGAAGATTATATACCAATCATCTCTACATCATAACACAATTTCGAAAGTGTCTTTATTTATTATAAAATTTTCCAAAACATTTTGAGAAATATTTTAGAGAATATTAAAATATATATTTAATATATACTTAATACACATATTTAATGTTTAATATATATTTGATATTTAGTAAATTAAACTAAGAGTAAATATTGCACATTACATAGTACAATCATACAATACATATCAAAGATTAAATTGAATATAAGACTGGTTATGTGTGATATATGTGTGATATCAGAGAAATATACTGTATATGTATATAAATGTGGAGCATATATGAAATATTTTTGCTATATTTTATCTTGATGTTGCAACTGGGAAGGAAACTTTATATAAAGAAGAAGAAGTTAACGTTAAATGTTTCACTTTCTATAGTAGTAATATTCGATTTATATGCAAAGATATTATTTTACGATACTTATAAAACATAATATTAACATGTACAATCTCACAGCGATGTTATCTTGTCATTAGTGTAATTATTATATAAAGTCCAAATCATCTACTCGAAGATAAATGAGACTAAAGGAGGAAAGTCTCATGTAAGCAGGCAGTATCTCATAATTCCCACTGATTTGTTTCCATTTCACATTCTTACATAGATTAAGTTTCGTTCTCTCATAAATTACGTAACATGCATGCTTTAACAATCATATATCAACTTTGTTATTGATTTTTTGTTTTATTTACAGAGTTTATATGTAGAGGAACGAGAATAATGAAGCGTGAATAATAGTGGGTGAGTGTAACATATATATTCTTATGTGTATTGCAACTTTCGCGGTCCGATTTTTTTTAGAATTTTTTATATAAACATATAGTAATAATATTAAAGAATATCGTATTATTTGGCCTGGGTATTATGTAATGTTGCAAACTCTTTCTAAAAGAATTTAATATAAATAATATATACAATTCTTGTGATGAAATCGGACCGCAAAAAGTATTTGATCGTAATGAAGAAATTATATTTACCGTTTGCATTTGTTCGTTACAGCGCGATTATCGCTTATGATCCTGAAGAAGTCGTCAATTTTTAACTACTATTTACTAAATTTAGTAAATATAACTATTGACTATGATGCACACTAAGTCCCGTAACTTGATGGCGATCGAACGAAATCTCTAAACGTATGACATAGAAACTCACTCTGTTATTTATCCAAATAGTTCCCAAGTTCATCAGTGCAGTTAAAAATAACACTTTCCTTTGCAATGTTAATACGATTATTACAATACGTGTAATTATTCAGCTACAATCCGATGAGATTAGAAGTCTGTGCGGACATAGCTTCTCTGAGTTATATTTCGTTACAATTTACAGATTACAATGCATTTCCATACGATTAAGAAGTACCTCTGACAGATATTTTTTTTCTCTCTTTTTAAGCGTATGTTACTTTATAGAGTTGCGTTTTAATGCTACACAATTGTAAATAAGGCGAATTGAGAAGTACGCTTTTAAAGGTAAAGGTATACGAAACTAAATACTTTAGCAATTTCATCTACACGCCGGTAAAAGTTATATTTCTGGGGAACTGTTATTGCAAAAGTAGATTTAATAGGGATAACCACACAGTGAAAAAAAGGATTTTACCATACACACGAATTATCATAGTTGAGAGGAAATAGGATATTTTGTTTTAATTTTAGATAAGACAAGACGCAATTAGTTATTACACTAACTATCGAAGCTAATATACTCTCTCTGAATATATATCAGTATAACTGAACAATTCGGACAACTCACGGTTTTACAGGACTAGCTACAGATAGTTTCATATATTATGTGTAATTATTGTACACCAACTCCCGCGCTTTTCTTTGGTAGCTCTATTTTAAGCATTTTAGCCAGGAAATATATAGCAGCAGATAAAACTGAATTGCCGAGTACTCTGCCCACTTTATTGTGCGCTATTATTGCTATTTGGCAATAAAGGCATTTACTCTTATGTAATTTATTTTTACTACACTTTAATGTAATTTAAGAATCTTAGCCAAATCGTAATTTTAGTATATATATATATGTATATATATATATATATATATACAGTTTTTACTTCAGCTATCATAAAATATCCCATTTCAACTTGGTAACTTGAGACGTGGGACAATTTTTATTTGATTGTATTTTATTTATTGTGTCTAGTCGACGAGATTGATGAGTTCTTGATACAAAGACGAATCCTGTGACATTTTCATATTGATGTATTTAGTCCGCTATATATTCCTCTATCGAGATATCTGATTATAGAGACTGATTTTATGTGATACCTCACCGAATTTTTTACAAGTAGATAGAAATCCCGCTTATACGTAATGTTAATACTACTCTATTAGTATTAAGGCTCCCCTGTACTCGCCGTAGCTGTTTTATGACGTGAGAAAAGAATATCTCTATGCTCAGAATTCTTGCCGTTCAGCACACTCGTAAAATACTCCGAACACTTTTCTTTCGCTCGAGCGACCAATAAATAGCCGTAAAATTAACGCGACAAAATCACGAGAAAAGATGAGTTAAAAGGAGAAAGGTTATACACACGTCGTGTTAATCTTGTGGTTATTTGTTGAATCGAACAAAAAAAGAAAAGTTTGTTTTACACAAGTGTGCTGAATCAATCATAAATGCCATTTTGTGGGCATATCTTTTTATTTGAACGTATACGACGTTCCTGACGTCATCAAACAAGAGGACTGTAGCGAGGGACCAGGAGCCTTAAATAATATTTTAGAATTCGGCGCTACTTACGTGAATCATTTCAGATTATGACGTGGCGAGCAGAGAAATTGCGAGGAATGTACGCACAAGCTACTTGAAACCGGTGATATATCGTTAATAATAGCGCAATTAATTTGTTGGAACAGGTTTATAAAATATGGTGGGAACTATGCTTTCCGTCCAATAATTCCTAACGCAAAAATGTAGAGTAATTATCACAGTACTTGTCGTACATATAGGTCGTAATCTAGGACAATTCAAACGTGACTTCCAAAATCGTTTCGTGTTTTTACACGACGCAGTAGTAGTAGGTAGCAGAATTTTCTCGATATCCTGAAGATCCGCTCCATCGAGTTGAGCAATTTTATCGGTGTAATTTGACATATAAATAGCAAAGATTGCGCTTGTGCGTAGCTCCTCGTTCTTGGTGTCATAACGCAAGATGATTGACGTTGGTACAGTCAACTTTTAAGGATAATCACATTCCTCTTTATTTTTATTTTTAGATCGTAATTTTTACGGAGTAAAGACATGGTATCAATTGATATATTACAGCTGTGTAAGAGATGACTTTTCTTACGTTAAGTTACTTGAATGATTAAGATGCATTGAGTACAAATATTGTCTTAGGATTTCTTGCTTCTGACGAAGTTAGAAGGAAAAACGATCTTTATAAGTGGTTTGTGAGAAGAGATACAGGAGAATTATTTCGAATCGCGTCATTATGAGTGTACCATATAGTGTGTATGTGCGCGCGTATAGTTACAGAGAAAAAGATTTTATAATCACCAAAGTTACATGTTGCAAGAGCACATATGCAGATCAACCGTAAACTCGTGTATACGCTTCGTCCAAGTGGAACGTGCACGAGAATTTACAGTCATCCTATATAACACAATAATGTTTTATATTTATCGTAACAACATCGCGCTCCACTTTCAAGTATGATTCATTTCATGTTAAAAAGAGAAGAAAAAAAAAGAGTAACGTGGGACTTACACGAAAGAGCTAGTTTCAAGTTTATAACCGCCCCCAATAGATAGCAAAAATAAATGAAGTACTTACGTTTCCTAGAACAAAATTTACCGGGATACTTTCATCAGCTTCGTGTGTGAACACAATGTGTTCCCGCTCGATGGGTGTATATTCCCAAAATTGCAGTTGAATATATACTTCAATATAGTGTGCAGTGCTAAACAAAGTTATATACAAAAGTAATAAGTAAACGCCAACCCTCACATAAGCAATATCGCTTCGTCATAGGATCAGTGTTACATTACACGGTAATAATTTTTCTTTCGTTTATTCTCAGGGATGGTATGATGGAAGCTTTATAACTGTTTCTCTTTATTGCGTTATATCGTACATATTTTTGTTGAAAGTACATGTCCGTTGACGGTGTAAACCTAATGTTTTTTTGTTTCTTTTCCTTTATTTCTGCAAATTTAATAATAAAATGTTATCTTGTATTCTTTCACTCTTTAGATCTAAGAGCACATGGAGCTGCATCCTCTTTTAAATCGCCATTCAACAGANATATATATATATATATATCGCGTAAGGAACTTTTATCGAGTCTGTTAAAAAGAAAATCTAGTTATATGGGAGAGAGAGAAAAATCGGGGGTGAACGTGAATTTGCACGGAATATTATTAAAAGCGAAAATTGAATATGTTTCGATTGATCTCTTTCATATGTTTTTAAACATATATTTGTTCGTCTACCGCGTGAAACCTGTACCGCGTGAAACGTGTTGAAACATGTAGCTAGATTAATGAAAATACAAAGCGAGTGCTTTAAGTGAGTCATGTAACATAGTTTTAATTCCGATCAATTTTAGGTCTTTACAAGAACGCTAATATCTCTCACGTGAAATTATTCTCCTCGTGTAAGTTCAACAATTGTAGATCTGCGACATGTTATTGTTTAATTTAATTTTCACACACAATATCGGTTTGCGTTCTGCGTGTAAAAATATTGTATTATCATAAGTTAATCCACGATGTACAACAATGCAGAGACTGAAAAAGAGAATAAAAGTTCAATTTTTTAATATATTCGAGTTATTCGTTTATTACGCGCAATTGTACAAAATCAATTCGAGAACTCGGTGTTTATAGCTCTGTGAGACAATTGGGTAATCTATGTCAAACGAACGTACGCTACTCTCGTTAAAATGCAGAATTTGATATTTATATATAGACCATTAAATTAATTGCTACCACTTTTAAAGCGTTCGATATACAATTTTCTCTCGTTATGTATATTTAGTTCGCAGATATACTTGTTCATTATCTGTTATAGAACATAGGACATAACGTCGGTATCCAAATCGATACCGAATATCTGTTTCAAATTAAATAATTTTGTTCGTGTGCAATCTTTTGGAAAAATAACCATTAGTGTGACAGAATGTAGTCAAACATATTAGATAGGATCAACGTGTACGTAAAAATATATTTACAGGTCTTGGACAAGTACGGTATTATTAGTGTAATGAACCTATACGCTTTGACTAAAAATTGGAGAGAAATTATAATAATTCGATTAGTACACCCTATGAAATAATGTTTTTAATGGAGGGAGGTATCCGTTATTACGTGTACTAATGGACATAAGCCTGCGGAGTATTTTTCGCTTTTACCCTGTTCAGAGGTATTACTATATTCTATTTTTAGTTAGTAAGTATACATACTTATGTAAAATATAATGAACCCGATGCTGCAAGCATCAAAAGCATATTAATGTTTACCCTGTTGAGAGTTTCTAACATTTTCTATCCTTACTTCGTAGGTTATAGCGGTGAATCTAATAATTCCGATAAGTATATAACAGAGGTAAATATATTAGTATTTTTTTTCCACATGCAGTATATTTACCTCGATTCTTATGCAGTCGACACTTTTTTTATGTAATGCACATAATGTACAAATATATAGGTAAATACAGGTTTATTTATCATTACGAAAAAGATGTTCTACGCATACACAATACTGAATTTTTGATGAACACGAATTAATGAGGCATCTGATGTAAAGTACTTTTACTATACTAACTCGATTAATGTTTAAGATGTTAGACTTTCCTTAATAAATGCTTTATGCGTTACATAATAATTTTTTTTTATTTATGATTAATGATCTATTTATATTCAATCCATATGTATGAAGACTTTTGGCAATTTTGACGAACTAATTATTTATATATATATAGCTATAGTAACTTAATAGATTTATTTGTGTTAAACTTAAGCCTATCAGACTTATCGCATTGTAAATTAATAAATAAATAGTAACAATAAGAAACATTCGGTAATGAAAGGGACATTTTTACGCGCCTCTGTCAGTCAAGTTTAAGGGAAATATAATAGCAGTTTAAGACTCTCGAAAGTAGGAAAATAGAGCGATGCGGTAAAAACGTAAGAGGTATATAGAGCGTTTTCTACAATTAAAAGATTTTCTAACTACAATCAGTTTTATACGCGGAAGCGAATAAAGTGTATAACAATGACAAGTGTGTGTGACAATGACAAGTAATCTATCGAGTAGACTACTTAACAAGGTACATTTCCTTTTTGTACAACAAAATGTTAGCTACTGCTTAGCTAATGATCACAGATATGAGATCAGGTATAGGGATATGGCACTGAAGTTATGCATTACTCGAACCAAAGTATCTCGAAATAATCAAACGTAATAATTGGGAGACATTCGTGTAAGAATAATATAGTGATGCTGACTGGTTCAGGTTTAACACAGGGACTGCGTACGACTTAATTTGCTCAGATCAGATACACGTTATAACAAAAACAGAGTTTAATAGTAATAGATGCTCTGAAAAACCATTAACATAGGATATAAGTATACAATTCAATGAGCGATGTGTGAGCAATGTTTCCATGAGAGGACCGTACATATGGTGTAATATACAGCATTTAAGAAATTATATCGACTGCTCTGAAAAGAAAGACAAATTTCACCTCCGCCACAACCGCGAGGTACGTTAAAGTTTAATATAATTTAATTAAATGCCATATATTTTTAGTGTTAATCAGTTCTCTTAAAGCAAGATCTCAGACATATCGTTATGAACTGAAGTATTGAGTAATTACGTAGGAACAAGCTATACGATGCCTGCTAGTTGTAAAGCTTTTCTATCTTGGTAACTATACGATATCTAAATTGTGCATTTTCCTTGCATGCCTCAGTATTTTCATTTTATTTATCAAGCTCGATTAGGTCATTTTACTTTTAGAATACCGCGCCCTCTCGCGTAGTTTGTATTTTCTTTAACGAAAGATGGATACTCGTATTACAAGAAAAATATATAGGATATACTTTCAATTGCGTAGCATACTATCTCTCCTTTTTTTTTTTCACCGGGACCTGAAGTTCTTTTTGTTATTACGAATCGGCTGACTAGCTACTCTACTTGTTTTGATAGGTACCTGTATGTATGTATTGTAAGTTTACATTAAATAATAGCTTTTTTTCCCGCGATATATAATATAGGGCTGCGTCTCTATATATAATAAGAGGACAGATTACAAAGTGGAAGAAATTAAACATTTCCAGTTTCTATAATTGTACGGCAATACAAACAATTTTGCACCATTTGGCGAATTTATTGACATTATGTGCTCGCATTAAACACTTGCCAGAAGTTACTCAAGTATAAGTGGGTAATTAATCTGAAATAAAAGACATGTGCTGTAAAAATATTGGAAATGTCTCTGCGCGTATGTGTCTATGAAACCAATCATTATCAGACTTCTACATCGCACAATTAACTATAACATCATAATTACAGAATTTACAGTATCTAAGTCTTTTTGTCGGATATTTATCATAAAAGTCGACGTATATGTAATTGAATCTGTGAAGTTACCTATGCAAACATGCTCCTGGTACATTGTGCGTCCTGTTTTTCGAGGAAAATTTGGATTTTATACATTCTTAACTTTCAATCGTCAACCTGGTCGTATTACATTCCTGAATCTAAATTTGTCTTCCTCAGGAAACTGTAAAAGATATATTCGCACATATTTATCATCGCATATAATAAACCACACAATTATGTTTTCAGACAGTATAAAATAAATATGGTGAAGATATTTTTAGCGCGTCTCAAAACGCGATAAAGACTGAACGGACACGCGACAAATGATTCCAACAATAACATAACTGCGACATTTTTATACATATTTTTCCGATACATTTTTTTTAATTTCACATTATTTGTTGCCTCATAATAAACGAAATAATAAATTACTTTTGTATAAAAATCAAATGGCGACCTTACCTCAAAAATGATATTACTTCAAAATATGTTTCCGTAAGTTTGTTTGGCATTGGTTATATATGTACATATGTATATACATATTTATATATATATACGCGGAGAATTATACAGTTTTTTTTTTAATTTTACTTTACAAGAATCCAAAAGAACTCGTTCAGAAAAATTATCGTTCGCGACGATAGACGCGATTGCAACCGTGACGATAGGAAAAACATTAAAGTTTAAAATTTAATATCTTACAAAGCCTTACAGTAGTGTACAGTTTCGCAAGGTAGAGATGATATTTAACGGAATAAAATTCTCTACGGCTTGCCTCTAGCGATATCTAACCAAACATCAAAAATATCTTATGCGGAGGTATTCTATGTAGCTAGTCTAAACTCTTCACTGACGCTAATCTTGAACACGCTGAACGGTCTATTTCTAGATCTTCCTAAGACGAGTTATTTTCACTTGCGCTTTGTACATGTATTTACAGATTTACAGTGCCACAGCTTCGAAGAACACATTTGCCCGCTGTACAGATCTTATACGTTTGTTTTATTTGTTTCTCCTCTCTCTCTCTCTCTCTCTCTCTCTCACTCATCTTTTCTTTTCTCTCTTCTTTCTACAGCAGTGACTTCTCGTAATGAAATAGTATCGATCATCGACTAGTCTTCTTACGTCGTCGTTTTGACTCACCGGACGGATTCCATTCTGGATCAGTTTCGGTGTTGTAACAATAATTTACCTTAGGAACGTTTCTCTTTGAGCTTCTCGTTTGTCTAATGGATGACTGTTTCTTCGGCTTCTTGCACGCACCGTCCTGCTCCAACGTCTCGGTCGTTAAACGCTTCATAGACGTCGGATTCATCACCGTGACGTCTCTGCGCTGCGCGGGTGGCTTAAACGTCCTGTCCTGGCAAGTCTCTAGGCACACTGCGTTAGACTGATCACCGGCCGAGCGGAACTGCCGTTCGTGGCTCCTTATACTTTCCTTCGTAAGGTTATGATGCCCGTTGGAGAGATGCATGTCCTTGTAGTAATCCCTCCGCACCACGTTCGAGTTGAAATGATAGCTGCCGTGCGGGCCATCCTCCTCGTTAGGGGACAGCTCATACGTCGACTTGATGATCTGCGAGGGATGCTTCTGCGCACCGTCCAGCGCTTCCAAGGCGGCTATGGACATCATGGGGATCCCAGGATAGTTGTCCAGCTTCTCCGCTTTGATGGGCACCTTGTCGTACGCCATGGACATCTTGGCCTTCAGCCGCTTCTTCAACGGCAACTTCTTGTTCTCCATGTCCTTCTTGAATAGCTTTTCCGGCTCGCGTTGCACGTCCAGCTTCTCCAACGTATTATTCTGCAATACCCTCTGCTCTATCTTACATAATATCTGATCGTCATACAATTTACCTATCACCGCTTCGCTTTTTGTCCTATCGTGTTCTTGGACGGCGGACGTTTGTACTGACGAGTGCGCGGGCAAAAAATAAGAATTACTTTCGATACAAGACACGTGGGAGTCCGTGGCGGGGTGTATACACTGTCGGCAATGCGTTACTATGTCGTACGTGCAGTTCAGGCATGAGCAGTGCGACCTGCCGCACGAATTCGCGGACTTCGTGTGGGAATGGAGCGAAGTAGTGGAGTTAATTTGCAAACTGCACGAGACGGAGGTGCAGTGCTTGTGATACGGCATACACAGGTCGGTGCCGGCAGCGTAATTCCCGTAGATCGACGGTATCGTCGTGGGATGAGTGACCGGGATATGTAACGAATGTTGCGGATCGATCACCTCGTGCGAGTGTATACCGTTGCAGCCCTGTATACCGCAGTTCGGCGTGATGTGGCTGTTGAACTCCTGCTTAATGTTCTGCCTGTAGGCGAGGATGGATTTCGACTTCCGTTTGTCGACCGACTTACTGCTGATGCTCACGCTCGCAACATTCGTGTCCTGATAAATCTGCGACGTCGCGGGCAACACGTCGCCCGGTTTCTTACCGTAGGGCTTCATCTCGCCGATACTCATCAAGCCGGCCTCCTCCTCCTCCGGCTCGATCTTTATGCCTTTGTTCCTCCCGAACTTGCTTTCCTGGCACGATACTTCCTTGTATTGGGGCAGATCCAGGTTAAACGAGATGTGCTCCGACGTGTTGACTACCTCGAACGATGCGCAATCTTCCGGCGGGACCATCCAGCTCTTCTCCTTCACCAGACGGCTCTCGTCGTACGCTTTGTTGATGGTGTACAAATTGCTATTGGGGGACTTCTTCAGCAGCACGACCGTTTCTCCGTTTAATATGACGTTCGTGTTCTCCTTGATCGACTGCACGTTGCTCTCCGCTATGCTCAGGTTGTTGGACAACGCGTCCGTCGTCTCGTAATTGATGGTGGTCTCGACGACACGCGAGACGCTCGGCTCGTTCTCGCCGTCCTCGTCGTCGTCGGGATTCACGTCGGTCGTCGACGTCACTTCCACGTGAAGCGCCACCTTGTCCAACGCGTCCTCCGGATAGATCCCGACTATTCTGTTGATGACATCGGTAGATGGATTCTCCAAGATCTGCGAGACCGTGTTCGACGAGTCGTTGGTGTCGGCTTCGTCGTCGTCGTCGTCGTCGTCGTCGTCGGTGGACTGACTGTAAGGGGAGCTTCTCAACGACGCGTAATCCTTGACCTTGATTTGATCGCACTTCAACTCACGCTCGGTCTTCAAATGAGACACGTGCTGAGACACACTGGCCAACAACGAGAGCCCGTCTATGTTGTCCTGCAATTCCGAGTCCTGAATGATACATCTGTCGTCCGTTGGATCTTGCGCGTTCTTCACCTGTGATATCTTGTACGTTTCCTTCGCCGGTTTGTGCGATCGGTCGAAGTCGCGGAGATCTTTCCCAACTTTCGTGCACAGCACAGACGTTCTCACCGGATCCTTCGCGGTGAGCTCCTCGTCGCCGCGACTCCCGTTAGAATCGATCTCCGCGTTCTCCCTCGGCAGATCGGTACTCTTGTCGCCGTTGACTCCCTCGTTCTTTGAACACAATGACACGTTGACGATATTAGAAATATTCTTCTTATCGGTTGCGCGGTTTTCAAAAATAGTTTCTCTGGCTTTACGGTTAGAGGATTTGTCATCCTTTACGTCGTCACTTACCTCGATGCAAATACCAACTTCTAAATCTGTTTGTACATTAGAATGGTCGCCATTCATTACGCTAAATCTTACGGTATTATTTGCAACATCGTGTCTCGCTGATACATATTTATCTTGAGATTCAGGCTCCTTTGGTTGCTTTGTATTTTCAGCAGTAACGCGCGGTTGTCGCCGCTCCTCGGATCCCGTCGCCTTACTCACGGTCGTAACGATGCAAGTCTCAGCGGGAACCGCGAATTTCCCTTTACCCGATCCGCCGTCGATTCCGGTCGATCTTAAACATCGTGTCTCACTGTTCATCGTTTTACGATCGTCCTTCCGCGCACATCCGTCATTGCCACTGATATCCCTCATCTTTCCTTCGTCGGTTCTCTCGTCCTTCTCGTTATTATTCCTGTGATGCGTATGTACCAGTGACGAAATTACATGCGGCGATAATTTATCTTTAGCTATACTAGGATAGTTAGCATTATGTTTACAACTATCATCATCATCTTTGGAATCACCTTGGGCACATAACGCGAGAGGACTATTTACAGTTTTAGAGTGCTCCGTTCCTAAATCACAGATTTTCCGTAAACTTTCAACTCTTTTACATGTTTCACTTTCAGGCGCAGTGTCTTTTTCTATCAGTCGTTTAATCACAGTCTGTATATTAAATCTATCGTTCTTCTCGTCTGTCTTTGTCCCCGAAGTAGCATTAACATTGTGACACTTGCTAACGTTATTAGTGTCATCCGAAACATCCAATAATGAATTTGTAGAAACTTTAGATTTATTAGACTGTGGTCTATCAACGATTACTGAAGAAGAGACTGTACAGGGCATCCCAGCATTTCCGTTTCTGTCACTGCTGTTCACGTCCGCTAATTGTTTTTCCGATTCCGCATTAACCGGTGTACTCTTTTGTTCCACCTCCATGTGTTTCACTTTATCGCTGTCCAATTTTACTTCTTGTATTGATGTACCCAAATCATTCTTCAGGCATGTATCTTCTGTGGCATGTACGGGTTGAAGCAAATCTTCCAACTGCTGGTCGAGTGTCACTTTCTTCACGGAGTTTACATTCTCCGCCATCTGTTGTTTCTTGATCTTCTGCGATGCTCTTATCGTCTTTGCGTCGAGCTTCTTCTTAGCTTCTTCTAGCCATGCGACTTTTCTAGACTTCCTCTTCTTTATACACCTCTCAAAAGCGATGTCAGTTGTAAGATCGATGATTACAATTTTATTCGATTTTTTAATCTTCTTCCGGGGAAGCACTTTCGGTTTAATCGGTTTAGAAATAGTCCGTGTCACTGAAATATTCGTAGAGATTGTGCCTAAAGGTTTAACATTCGTCTGTTCTGTTAAATTGGTAGATTTCAAATTATCCGAAGAAACAGAATTGGTTTGCATATCTTTATCTGAAGGAACAAGACTAAAATTATTTTCGATACGACTGAAATTTTCATCTTCGCGTGATGTAGCTACCAACTAGGAATACATACAGCTTTATTATTCTTTCTTCTTATGAACTGTCATTATCTTTATGCGAATCTTTTCGATTGAAACAAATGCGATCGCATTTATAACATGAAAAACAATATTTTTAAATTCTTGTACAACAATAAAATTCTTATACAATTAATATATTTCACGAGAAGAAATTTGCTAATTATTACAATAAAAAAATTACAATGACAAATCATCAAATATATAGATAAATCATTCGCATAAAGACAATATTTCTATGGAAACGCTTTTTATCGTATAAGATTTTGCATTATCCGCAGAGTGCGTTTTAATAATTAAACTCCAAAAACACTCGACGTAATGTTAAAATACTTAAAACTTAAAAATCTATAAAAACACGTAATATATAAGGAACATGCGAGTAATAGTAATATTTGTACCAGTGGCGAAGTAATCCTCTTGGATGAGCTTGGAGTAATAGCTGCATTTTCACTTTTTTCCTGCCATATACTTCCTCTGCTTTCTCTACAGAACTGTACAAATAATTCGCAACATTTTCTTACGTCGAATTTCTGCTGCATTAGATATTTTGCTGAGTTTGGTTGACACTTTGGCACTTTTGGTAATGCATCTTCTAACACGCACGGTGGGAAAGTAGTTGGTGGTGCTCCCAGTGAGGCAATTGCGGTTGTGGTAATTTGACTTTTCACGGCCATATCGCTATTTACCTTTCTCCAAAGACAATAAATAAGAAGATAACGAACGTACATAAGATTTGATTCGGGATGCGCTGGAATATTTTTAATTACTTTTCTGAAACCAAATCAAAGAAATACGTATAACGGTACAAGAAATTTCAATGTATATACATATATACATTATAAAATTATATAAAAATAATTGGAATACATATACGAGGATTGTTTGATAAGTCTGGTAAAAAAACAAGTAAAAACTCTTCTTTCTTGGAAAAAAAATCGCTTTTACTACTCAACATAGAGGGCGATACACTTGGTCCGGCGAATTTTCAAATTACTGTCAGAAAAATGGACTGTCCAAAGCCTGCAAAATACTCATCGACGGTGATGACGATTTCCTCATTCGACGAGAGTTTCTTCCCACCGAGCCAGATTTTCAAATTTTGGAACAGGAAGAAATCGCACAGGGTCAAATCCGGAGAAGGGTAGATGAGGAATCAATTCGAAGCCCAATTCGTGTAATTTTGCCATTACGACCTCTCTTGATGGAAAAGCACTTTTTTTACGCGGCAATCTGGGCCGTTTATTTTTCAGTTCTTCTTTCAAACGGTCCAATAATGCTGCATAGTACTCTCCTGTTACTGCCTTACTCTTTTGCAAGTAATCAATTAAGATAATTCCTTGGGAATCCCAAAAAACAGTGGCCATCACCTATCCAGACGACAAGAAAGTTTTCACCTTCTTCGGCGCACTTTCACCAGGCATTGTCCATTGTTTTGACTGCTCCTTCGGCTCAGGAGTGTAGCGGTGGATCCAAGTTTCGTGCACAGTCACGAATCAACGCCATAAATCCTGCGGATTGTGCTTACACATCGTGAAATACTGCGTTGAAACATTCTTTCGCGTGCATTTTTGATCGAGAGTCAGCAATCGCGGCACCTGTCGTGCACACAGCTTTTTCATATGCAATTTTTCATGCAGGATGTTATGCACTCGTTCCGTCGAAATGCCTACGATCTCAGTAATCTCACGCACCCTCATTCGGCGATCTTCCATAACTATACCATACATTTTTCCATGATATCCGACGTGGTAACCTCAACTGGATGTCCAGAGCGCGCTTCGCCTTCAGTGCAGGTTCAGCCATGTTTAAATTCGTTTATCCAGAAATATACGGTCTTCAACGCAGGAGCAGAGTCCTCATGAACTTCGTCTAACTCGGCTTTGATCTGCGTTGCTGCCCACTTCTTTAAATAAAAGTGTTTTATCACTGCACGGAAATCGTTTCTTTCCATTTTTGTGGCAACTGCTAAACCGCTCGCTTTAAAAGACTATCGAACGTGAACAACGCGTCACTTCTGGTTGAAATTTGGTCTGGGGAGGGTTTGAAGAGTGGAACTTTCCAGATGTCACGTCACCAAATGGATTGTGGCGCCATCTCATAGAAATTTACCAAATTTATCAAACGACCCTCGTAGCGCACTTGATACCAACTTTGAAATAACAAGCTAAATTCTCATCATGTAGAATTGTGCAAAAAGTACATTACAAAACACATAAAACTTATACAAGACAATATAAAATGTTTTATCTAATATTTGATATATGAACGTATTATATATGAACGTAATAATTAATTGTTTAATTTAAGATAATAGAAATATATTGAACCAAGAAATGATATAGCTGAATATTGACATTATCAAGTTTTATTTGATATCAAAGCAATATATACTTACGTTATTATCGGATCTAAAATACGATGATAACCCCGGCACATAAATTGTATTTTTATCAAAGTATCTAACAAATGCTCTGTGGAATGTTCTGCGCAAAAGAAAGAATTTATTATTAACTATATTAATAAATAAATGTATTATACAAATAATGTCTGTGGAATACATACCTAAATATACGTAAAGACAAGAAGTAAGTCTGGTACAAATTCTATTATGATCTTCTTTACTTTTTCTTGATGCTCTTAATTCCATATCTATG